TTCTTAGACGCTTACGTATGGTAAATAATGGGACAGGATATCAAAGCATGGACTGATTTAGCCCACGGCCGCTTATTTTTTAACTAATTCACTCTTGGTATATAGCTGAACACAATCAATTTTCTGGTCTCCAATTCTCAGAATTAGTTCTCTTCTTCTTCATCAAGGCTCTGTTTCCTTTTGCGGGACATTGCAGCTCATCTCTTCATATCCTATTGAATAGTAGCGTATAGAGCACAGTTCAGAGATTCCGGAGACAGTATGAAGGGTGCCTGGTGAAGCAGGCATCTTTACTTCGGCTCTGTAAAAGATCTCTTGTTTTAAAAATCAGTGCCAAACACACTTAGCCCTCAGTGTTCGGAGTGGTCTAAATGGATTTAAGTAAACCAGCTTGTCTCCCCGACAGCCCATTATATTTCTGTTGCTTTTTGGTCACTTATTTGCATTCATGCCGTTATTGAAATAATGGGAACTGTAGCAAGAAACATTTAAAAACGTGTTAAAAAAAACATGGAGGTTATATATAAAACGAAGCCAGTCACCTGAGCTACAATGTGTGAATTCAACATTAAGTAAGTCATATTACAAAGGTGTACTCAATTTCACGTGGAAGAACTAGAATCAGCCCTGCAATAAGAAGTTTATGGGACCTCAAATGAATGTTTTCTTATTGTCCTATAATTTTCAACTGGAAAAAGTCATCTAGAGAGGAGGCATCAAATACAAAATCTGTGGGGAAAGGTGAGGTGTGTCCTGAAGGAGTGAATATGAGGCTGCCCTGGACCTGAGGCCCAGCCACAAAAATCCGACCATGCACATTGCTCACAGCCAAAAGACCAGAGGGAGAACATTTGAAATTTGAACGTGAGGGGCTTGGGATTTAGCTCAGCGGTTCTCCCGCCTGCCTCGCAAGTGCGAGGTCCTGAGTTTGATCCCAGGTACCAAAAAGGAAAAAAAAAAAGAAATTGGACTGTGAGTCTTCTACCTCCTAGAGAAATCAGTCATACCCTTTGCCCAGGCTCCTCCTAATAAGTGAAGTCACTCAACAATATGAATTGAACTCATGGAAATCTTTGGCATCTTTAAAGAAAATGGTATTTTCATTCACCTTTGAAGTTGTTTTTGCAGAATTTTTGTTTGTCTTCTGTGACACTTGGAAATAGAAAAAACAAACTAGAGAAAGAGGTCAGCTGTGTAGATGTTAGGTTCTTATTAGCTTAGTAAGAATGTGGAATATTTCTCTGGGGCAAGACATTGCATAAGGTTGCTGGACAATGACCACACTTAAAACCTGCAGAAGAGGGAAGGGCATCTCAGGAAGCTAAGGAAAGTAGTTTTCCATGGAAGAGCATTTTATCCTGAAAGCCCTCCAGTGCACTCGAACATCTACTGCATCCCTAAGAGACAGGTACCTAAGAGCATGAAATGCACGTCCCGCAGACAACACAGCCAGCAGGCTCAGCTGAAAGGGTACTATAGCACCAAAAAAGGAAGAGGCATTTGACTCCTATCCTTCACCCAAAAGAGGACATGATTCATGAGATCGTCAAGATCCTTGACACCTACACTGAGTCAGCGAAACCAGAGAAGACACGAGTGCTAAATCAGATATTACAAGCTTCAAACTGCAAAATTCAGCCGAATATTTATATTTAGTATGACCATAAATGCACAGTGTTTGTCAAAGGTATTATTAATCAGAGAAGTTCAAAAAAAAAGGCTTAAACAGTGATTTGTTGTAAAAATGTTTGTTATACTGAGTTGAATTCATGCAATAATTCTGTGTGACCGTGACATAATTTAAAGTATTTGTTAGCACATCTGTGAAAGAAGAGTGACTCAGGAAAATGGGGCAGGGACATGTTATTGCATTTTTTTCTTTAAAAAAACTATGATTATTGGCCAAACTCACTCATTTAGGGAGGTGTAATTTTTACAGATCTTTCATGAAACATGTGTGCACAATTAGTGTTTATTATCCAAAATAAAATGTCATTAAATAATAGGAACACATTGGGGGCATTATCTGAAGTCTGTTGTAAATGACTGAGGATTCATGGAGTAAGATCTCTGACAGTATTATACAAAACAACGGTACCCACTCTCAATGAAAAGTGAACAATCAGATATGAAAACAGGAAACTTGAATAGTTTTGTTTGCTCATTCTCTACGTTTACTGGGATTGATTTTCTCATTCTTCTCAGGAGAACACGAGCTTTATACTTAAACCCAACCTTGTCCATATGATCCTTGATCTGATCCTTGCAAATACAAGGGCTGGCTCTTATAGGAATGAGTCTCTGGGGCATTAATTACCTCCCTATTTTGTGCTAATCTCTTGGATAACTCAAATAGGTTCTGTCACAGGGATGTAGAGGAAAGACCTGAAGATTTCCAGTGTATAACTAAACGCAGGACAAGGCTTCCAATGCCCTCAGTTATGCATCTACCTTACTAGCTCAGCTCTGCATGCAGACATGCCCATCACTCAGCGAGTGTCTATATTATAAGGTTTATTAGTCCTAAATTCACATCATCTATCTTTTCCTTCTCCAAGACAAAGGACACCAACATTAGTGACTTTCCCTATTTGTAAGAATATCTAGATGTCACTATTTACAATGCGCAGTACCAGACCTGCTGGAACCACGCCTGGAAGGCTGGGATCCATTGTTCTAAAGGTGAAGTCACCTTGCATTACAAGAAAAACAGAGTCTTGAAGATCTCATGAGTCACCCCACAATCACGGCAAATTACTCCATGATGAAAGCTGAGGCTCCCATGAAAGCAGAAGCCACCATCTCATCTTAGGAACAAAACTGACAGCTCCAGCATTGATGATTCTCCCAGAACCTCATACAACCAGTGTGAGATAAAGCACTACCTCAATTCACAAACTTAATTTATTCTACCAGTCTGGTTGGAACCAAACTGGTTGCAAACCATATCAAATTTCCCCCATAAGTTTCAAGGTACATAAGTTTAATCTATTCTGAACCATATGTATTTTTTTACATCACACAAACATAAAATAAAGTACAGTACACTATGAAGAGAGAGACTAACCATGTTTGAAGCAACTTCTGGCATGGAGGACAAGAAAGTTTGTGGGAAGGAGGTTCTTTTTGGCGTCTTCTTCCAGAAAAGCCCTGTTTCATTGCAGTTGAACACTTGTTGAGTGACATTATCCTTCTGCCTTCATGAATTCTGTGCATTTTTTCTTGTAGTCTTCTGCAGCAGTCTTGCCAGAACTGGAAGCCTTGCCTGTCTTATCACACTGTGGATGCCACTTACCTTGCAAAATTTATCAAACCACCATCCATTACGCTTAAATTCATCACCTATTGCAGTGGTAGAGGAGCCTTCTTGCAGACAATCACTGTGCAACATCCAAACTTTTTCTCAGATCCTAGCTCCACTAATTCTATGACTTTCCTGGTGTTTCTCATTCAACCACACTAATGAAAGTTTTTCTGCCTCACCCAGAACCTGTCCTCTGACCCTTTGGCGGCATCTTTATTCTTTAAAATAGTTGAGTTTATTGACTTTGCCATCTTGTAGTACGTGGCCAGATCAGTCACACGAATACAATGCTCATGCTTTTCTACAATTTCCTTCTTCAACTCAATGGTTATTTTCTTCAAAATCTTCTTATTACCATTCTTACTCTGCACTTTGCTATTACCTTCATTAGTGCTCTGCACTTTCTTTGGAGCCATGCTGGATTGAGTAATACTGTGCAGTACTTTGTGTTCCAGAAAGCTTCACAGCAAGTGTATACAGGTCTGTCTGAGCCCATGGCCTCAATTACAAGCCATGACCACATGTCAGACCAAGAAAGATGGACACTTGATTGGAATTCTCAATTGGAAGCAAATTTTCACTGAATATTTCTGTTCAGAAATAAAACTGTTCATAAACCAAATTGTTCAAGAACAGAGGCATTCTAGAAGTAGTGCTATACTGATCAAACCTGAGAACTTTACCAAGACAAAATAAATGGCCATATATACAAAATCCTAGCTATAAACACCACCCCCTCCAACCTTGTTCTTGTTCCCCTTTTCTATAAAACTCCAAACTTCTTCTATCCCTCCCAGGAACTGATCTTAACTCTCTTTATCTGTGCTTCCAAAATAGCCATGCTGATGAAAGCTCCTTTCCTACCCTGGACCACCTCTAGTGTCCCTGAATGACATTATGGTACCAGTGGCCTAGTTTGCTGGAAAGCTCTGCTAAAAGTTCTGTATTTAATCAGCAGAGTCTATCACTGGTAATCTCATTATTTCTTACTGTAACTTCTCACAAAAATAAAACACACCTACCCTTTCTTTCACATTATTAAACTCCACATTAGTGAATGTAAGTTATATAAAATGTTTGTGCTTTTTAGAACCAGTTAATACAATTATTGAGATTTGATTTTTGAAAAAGGTTTGAATATTGAAAACATATTTTAGAACAGTTTTGAAAGAAATTTTAGCAGACCGATAAGTTTTTGTATGAATTAATAAATAAACTGCCTAAATTTTATAGTGTGAATTTCACACCTATTTGTGGAAAAATCAATAATGAAAAATAAGTACACATTTCATACTTAGATCTGATATATTAGAGATTTTCTAGCAACAAAATTTTAAAATGTAAAAGTTTGCCCTGGAATAAAATGTCCATGATTCTATTAAGCTCTTCTATTTTAATAAAAGGTGGAGAAAGAATGAAACACTCAATTCCTCAGATGTGCAAGGCTCAAGGATCTGGTTTCCATCCTCAGCATCTCAAAACACGAACAAAATGCAAAGAAATAATACAGTAAAAGACAGAGACATTTTCAATGTGTATTTAAGTTATACTGAACTAGCACAGAACAGTGAACAATTCTCCCCAACTCCACTACAATGAAAAGAAACTGACGTGTTGGGGGAATGAAAAGGTAAACACACAGGTATACCGAACAGCCATGTGAATTAATGAACACATGTTGACATCACTGACTCACTTTGAACCCCATGAGAGCGCACTATTTTCCAGGTTTCGGATGCTACTTCTTTGACATCCACTTGGTAGTGATGAATAGGCACACCTCCGTGGGAGTCCGGCTTGTTGAAAGAAATCTTGGCTGTGGTCTGTGACAGCTCTATTAACTTCACTCCATAGGGACTGGATGGCACATCTATGAAGGAACAAACACAAAGAAACACCACCCAAGTCATTTGAGTGGTCAGTAGTAAATCTTGTACTTTTAGGAATATTAGGAGGAAAGGAAACTGTTATTTAATCACTTACTTGTTCCAATGACAAAGCTTACCTAACACCTGCTTGAGCTCTTTAAGACGGAAGAATAAATGGTCACTTTCTATTATAGCACATAACAGTAAAATATTCAGGAAATAAATTAAAATATTTAATGAGGAAATATTTGACTTACATATTTTCTATGGTATATAAACATTTTCTGAAGTGAAGCAAAATAGGCTTATTGATTGTGTGTGTGTGTGTGTGTGTGCAAATAAGCTTGTGTATGCGTTTGCGTGAGACTGACAGACATAGATCAAATGAATGACTGAAATGTAAAAATAAATGTATTACTTAAGCATTACTATAATATTTTAAAGCATATTTTTCCTCATTGAGTTTATTGGTACATATTAGGTATGCAGTATGTTACATTCATCATTGGGATCTTGTACCTCTACATGACAGGTCTTGGTTCTCATCCCCTTGTCCCAGCCCTCCCTTCACCCCTTCTTCACTTCCTTATTTACAAAAGGGGTGCAGACTGGTGCAACCACTATGGAAATCGATATGGAGATACCTCTAAGAACTAGGACTAGAGGTTCCATTTGACACAGGCATCCCTCTGTTGAGTTTCTTTCCAAAAGAATTAAAAGACTCATCCCACAGTGATGTATGCACACCCATGTTTACAGAGGCACAGTTTGTAATAGGAAGACTTGGAAACAACCCATTTGCCCATCATTTGGAGACTGGATAAAGAAGATGTGGTTTTTCTATGAAATGTATATTTTTGTTCATTAAAATTATATTACTAAATTTGTGGAAAGCATTAATTTTAGATAAAATGTTAGTGTTCTGAACTAAATAGTACCGCAAGCTATCTGTTGTAACATCATTTATAACTCATCAGTTAAAATGAACTTTCAGTTGAGATATTGAATTCTAACCCCTTTTAAAATCGACTATAACGCTGAGCATAGTGGCACATCACTATGGGTATATCATTGTACAAATTTATTGTTTAGTTCTACAATTACAATAGCCTGGATGGAAATCTATTTTAGTTTCTAAGACATAAAACTTTAGATAGAATTAGCTCAAAAGCAGAAAAAATAACACAAGATAATAAAAAAACAGGAAAAAACCCTCAATTAAAACTATACCTTACTTCACATTACCAATAATACAATTTGAACCTTATTTACACTTTTAGTTTTTCACACCATAGAAACTATTTGGTATTTACACGTGTGTTCTACTTATTTCACATAAGATTATGTGAAACAGGAAGAAAAAGGCTTAAGGAGTAGGGAAAGTGGAAAGGGTTGGGGAAAGGAAAGAAGAGAAAAGGAAAAATATGAGAAAAGGAAAAATTGGAAACAAAGTCTTTGTAAATAGGGAAGGATGCGGGGGTGAAGGGAGGGCAGGGGAATGTGGAAAAATAAGAACCAAGTTATATCATGTGAAGGTGCAAGATCCCAATGATGAATGTAACTGTACTGTGAAAAAAATTAGGTTGTTTGAGCTTGTTCTTTTCTGATGTGGGGATTTACTTCTATTAATTTCCCTCTTGGGACTGCTTTTATTGCATCACCGAAGTTCTGGTATGTCAAATTGATGTTATTATTTAATTAAAATATTCTTAAACTTTCAAAAAATATGGATATTTCAGAAAGAATGTGTGTGTGTATGTGTGTGTGTGTGTGTGTCCTGGTATCATACAAGCATTTATATAAAAATCTCAAATGGCTATGCACTCAGATGAACTTTATTAGCTAAAGCACTAGCACAGCACTATAGGTCATGAAAACATGCTGTGTAAATGCTGCTAGGCAAGAGCTAGGGGCAGATTTATGTTTTTTTTATATGAATTATGTAAAGAAATGCAACAGTATATTTTCAGCTTTAATTAGGAAATATAAATAACTTAGAAATGTTATGTAGTTCATTATGTCACAACCAAAAGATGCAAAAATAAATGTGTTGGTTGGTAGATTCACAAGTGATATTGCTATGCAAATCTTATCCAGAAATATGACATTTAAGTTATCTACATAATATATCTTTCTCTCCTATGCAAACATGCAGTTTTCATATTTTTTCATATCTATGTTAAAGTGCAGGTCTTTACATCAGTAAGTTTGTTATGAACTCTCATCTGTAGGTGTGCTCAGTTGCAGAGGTAGAAGAGAAACAAGCATAGGCTGCCTGGTAAGACTGACAATCCTTTATCCCACACTGAGCAACTGTCTTGGGTCCACTAGGTTGAAATTGGGCTTCACAACAATCAGGGTTCTCAATTTGAAGAAATAGGTCACAAACAAAGATAAGATACATAGGGAGACAGGAAAGATCAATCCTCTCAGTCTTGATGCTATGGCATATACACGATCCCTTGTTCACATTCTAACTCTAGATGAAGCTATGTGTGCTGACTGGTGCATCTGTAGATATTAAGCCTGAATGTTTTTAGAACAATGTTAGCACAATCCATACACAGCTAACTGGCTATCCTTTTCTTGACATGTTCGGATCTGCTGATTCTTACCCTGGCTTTTGATATTTTTCCCTCTTTTTTTTTCTGCTATCTGGTAAAAAGTAAAAGCATACATACTTTTAACTTGTAGATCTAGTATCTTGTTTACATTATTTGCATTTTAATTGTCTATGTCCAATTACATCTTGACTTCTAAAGTTATAAAATCTATTATGAACTGACTACTGAATTACGTTTTAGGAAAGAAACAAATATCACAGATATATTTATACATATATCTACATATAGAATTCAACATTGAACAAAGAGAAGTAAATGGAGTCTTGAGAAAACATTTGATAAATTGTGTATTTCAGTAATTAAAGCTAATATAAAAAAGCTGTGAAGCAATACATACGTTAATCAGCTAAATTTAAAAGTTCCATAATTGTGCATTACTTCAAAATATCATGATGTACACAATCATTACATACAATTTTTCTTATCAATTAAAAATATGATAGAGAACTTGTCTAATTGTGTCTGTTATTCCTATAATTAATATCTCCTTTAATTTTTCATGTGAATTGTTTGGTGACCCTCTTCATACTTGATTCTTATGTCTTGCATACATTATAATAAATTATTACATTATTTCAATAATTTCTACATTATATTCCTTGCTAGCTTATCCCTTTTTCCAATGCTAACCCTGTTTGTCTTCATTAACAGTGACAGTGGTTCTTGTCATCTTTTTCTATTTGATTTGTCACCAAACTTCAATCCATACAGCATGCAAATGCAAGATCAATCTTTCTGAAGAACCATTCTAATCACTTCACTTCCCTGAAGAGGAAATGTGGAGTTTCACTCTCTTTATAACACCAATCTCAGTCTCTGCAGGCTTTCTCTCAATATTCTGGATTACATAACATACATGTATGCAAATAGAGGGCCATAATGCAAAACACAAACACAGTCCAATATTTTAATTGTACAAATGGATGTTCTAGTCTACAAATAGAGCTTTTTTATTAGCATATTTTTATGAATTACTTCCTAGTACCTTTCATTGTCAATAGTTAACAAATACTCCCTACTACTGAATGAATTAATAATTGGAAAGAACAGTAATTATACAAGTGTATCTGTTTAATTACACTTTGTTTCCCCTCAACTAGTGCTGATGTAATGTTGGACTAAGGAACTGAATGTATGATGGAATCTGTGGATCCAAAATCTTGTCTTGGTACTGTTTTTCAACTGCAACCTTCCAAAAAAGTAAATCGTTTCATCTTTATATACATCAGTTTTCATGTCCCTAGAATGCAGGTAAGAATAATACCAAGGTTACTGGGAGAATCAAATAATGTGGAACACCTACTAATAATGTGAAATACACAAAGCACTTAGTAAATAATTAGTGATTACAATTTTGCTATGTCTCACCTTCTATTAAATTCTTTGTATCAATTTATGTCTGTCAGTGTTCTATTTGAATGGTATGTGTAGGATACAATATCAAATTTCATCATACAAATCTATGTTTTGAATAATAGCACAGAAGTGTTGTAACGTCTTACAAGTCAGATGGGAATAATCCTTAGAATCTTTGAAATAGCCTATGCATATTATAATTATTAGGCATTAACATCCTCAAAGCAAAACAGTATCAGTAATATGAATGTTAAAATTGTTTTGTGAGAGTAAATTTATGGATATAAACAAGATCATTCATAAATACGCTTCAGTTAACTTGTCCTAAAAAGTTGTCTGTATATAAGTAATACAGATTAATATTTTGATAGTTACACATATACGTTTGATTCAATAGTTTGGGCAAGGTATGAATGGGAAGACAAAGTGTCTGCCTTGCTGATACACTTACTGCATTTCATAGAAAGCAAAAATGGAGGAGTTACCCTCTGACTTAATTCTGATGAAATCAAAGAGTGCAACAAGTGAAGAGGAACTAATAAATTCAATGGAACTATATGAATTCTTATGAGAAAGGCAGAGATCGATAATAAAATATATACACTAATGATGACAAGCACATTTAAAAACGAGCTTCAAATATGTTTCTCTAACAACAAAATTGCAAAATAGAGAGGAACAATACAAAGAAAACCCTTGAAGTATATATCTGAATATCCTACTACTGTGGGAAACAAAAAGAAAGTAGCTAATGAATATAAAATAGCCGCAAAGGGCATTTTGGTAAGTACATTTTTAAATGACAATTATATTTTGCTATAGATTGCTTTCATAACTTGGAGTATTTTGTAGCTTCATAAGAACATTAGGATTTGTGAGGCAAGTCATTTGTATTTTTTTGATAGGGATTATATTGAATCTATATATCACTTTTGATAATATGAACATTTTAACAGTATTATTCTTCCAATGCATGAATAAAGGATATATTTCTATTTATTTGCACTTTCTCCCATATCAATGTTTTATAGTTTTCAATTATAGACATGTTTTTCATCCTAGATTAATTGATTACAAAGCATTTTATTTTATAGCTATTGTAAATAGGACTGTTTTCTTGATTCCTTTTTTTCCAGATAGTTTGCTACTAGCATATTGAAATGCTGCACTATTTTACATGTTGATTTTGCATCTTGAAACTTTACTCAGTTTATTTATTAGTTTTAACTATTTTCATAGAGGCTTTTAGAATTTAGAAGGCAAGACTATGTCACTTGTAAGAAAAATCTATGTGATTTCCTCCTTTCAAATGTGGTAGCCTCCTCTTCCTCTTACTTTCTAATAGGTGTAGGTAGAAGTTCTACATCTCTAATGGAATTGAGTGAGTGTGTTTGTCTTATTTCCTATCTTAGAAGAAAATGCTTCAACTGTCCCCCTTCATTATAATGTTAGGGTCTTAAAAGGCCTTGCTTGTTTGAGGCACAGTGAAGCTAGAAGCACAGCGCTATGTTATCAATTTAGAATTTCATTCATTTACAGTAATATTTTATGAGATGTCAAAAAAAGTGTGCTATACTTACCAGCTAAGGCAAGAATATATTCTTGAAATCTGGTTCCTATACGATTAGTAGCTGTGCAGTTATATCGTCCAAAGTCATTGTCTGACGTAGGAGCAATCTAAAGTAATTACAATAAAAGTTATAATTCTGTATTAGCAAAACATCAAAGAAGTTTTAAAAGATTCTAGTATCCTTATTATTTGGATGTAAATTTTAAAATTTATCATACCCTCTTTGCCATAATTCCATAATCTTCATCAGGTAGGATTAATAAATAATCATTTAAAAATGTACTCCATAAACCTACGCTAGCCTTAGGATTTCAGGAACCGTAGTTTTCCTTACAGCTCATTAAATGAATCAACATCACTATTTTGACACAACTACAGAATAGCAAAAGTATTATCTTTCCCATATGTAAATTAAAGAAAATAGTACAGTTTGAAATATATTAGTCAGGGCTGGTGTGAACCTGAAAAACAAGAAACTTGTTACCAGAGCAATATTAACTTTTTTTTCTGGGCTGATTTACACTTCAATATATGTGAGATTTCTTTCCTTTTATTGAATTTGTGAACAAAAAATACTAACCAAAGGTAACTATGCATTCTTTAAAAATCTTTCTTGGAAGGTATTTTGCAAGAAATATTGCCCTTGTGTAAATCTCAAGACTAGTACGTACCAGAATTTTTTCTTCATATCTAATTATAGTGTCATCTCTCCGTTTCTGTTCAATTCCTGTCATTATCTTTTAGTTTCGGTGGAAGTGTAGGTGACCTCAATCTTTACACATTTGAAATCCATAATTAAGTTAACCTTCAAGGATTCTTTTGGTGAATGATAAGGCTAACCCTGTAATTCTATTGTACAGAAATTCTGAAGTATCAATTCAGAAAAGAGATTTGATGATAGTAATGGATATAATTTTCAATTCCAGTAACTATTTTTACGACAGAATATGCTTACCGCAAGAATTGCTTTTAATTTCAACTCTTTCCCAAAAGACAGAAAAAGGATTTTGTGGTAATGGGAAGCTATTAACTAAGAGTGCAATTTTGAGGTTCACTGAAGATGGTGTTTCTGAAGGAGTACAAAAGAGCCGTGCTGTTCATTTCTTCAGTCAGCTGTCCATCCAGCAACATAGCATCGGCATAAAGCTCAGAAATTTTAGCAGCTCTTGTAGTTCTGGATGATTCAATACTCATTTTCTTACATGCAGCTTTTAATAAACCAGGCAAGCTTTTAAAATAATTTTACTAATTAGAAACATTTAAAAACTTCTCTTTTTCTACAGACTACTGATTGAGAAAGTTTATTGTTTTTGTACATTCCACAGGGAAGAATGTGTTTACTGAATCGATACAATACAGAGGCAAAATAAGCACAACAAACAATGGTGTCTACTGCACAGTTCCTTAAGATTAATAAATTCAATCTAGCCAGCCCCTGTTAATCTGCCCCCCTGTGATTTCAGACTATCAACAGACAAAAGCTTAATACTCCTAAGTTAAATGAATAATTCCTTCATCACCCTGTATGGTCAATAGAATGATACATTCCAGAGGGAAACACAGCTTTAAAACAGCGTGGCTCAATCATATGCCCTGAAACGTATTTGATATAGTCTTTGGACAGCAATATGACACTAAAGTCATAGTTAGACAGGCGAACTCAGCACAAGGAAATGTTAGAATGGTCGATCAAAATAAAGGATAATATAACCAAATATTTACTGTAAAGCATTAAATAAAAAACAAATACATAGGTGTACAAATCACTCCTACTATTGATTCAAGAAATAGTAATAGCATCCACTCATAATATTTTTCTTTTAAATGTGAAATATCCAGTTGAAATAAGTGAAGTTTAATTGTAATGTTAAGCTTTCATGAAACACACTGGATCAAAAGTAATTTTGAATATCAAAATATAAGGCGAGAGTCTAATGTTAATAAGGAGGCTAATCTCTTTTATTTCTAATCCTGTACAGATTGATTTCTTCTATGTTATTGCATGGTTGACAGTATGCATTTAATAGTTAGTATGCTTTCCTTAGAACAAGAAAAGATGACATACTTGATTCAAAATAGGTTATCATTACAAACAACTTGCTAGAAATTCCCTGCCATCAATTTTCACCATATATTGAAAACTTGAGTTATTATATGACTGTGGTCAGAATAAAACAAATATAAAAAAAAAGAAAACCTCCTGGGAGCATTATAAGTGTAGTAATCCAAAGAATTTACAAAGTTTATATATTAATATTATGTTTAAATTGTATAGATGATTGAATAAATTTTTTAAACTTTAAAAATTGACTTTTTAAAATCTAGTACCTATTATTAATTATGTTTTTCATTATTTATATCTATTTTTCTCATGATATACAAATTGATGCTAATTAAATATGGTACTATGATGATCATGAAGCATATAATAAAAGGCATTATACCCTTTAACTGTGTGGTAATTAATTAAAAATTAGTATTGTTTACAGTCCTCTTTTTTTAAGCTATGGTTACTATATTTTCTTTTATATTGTTAGTCACTGTATTTTTATTTCAGATTTATTTAAATTGTGAAAAATGGCACACACACACACACACACACACACACACACA